CTTTAGGCACTGAAAGGTGTTCTAAGGTCTCCTGGTGCTCTTCTCCAGGCACCTGTGGTGGGGAAGGGGACACAATCCCATTATTTCACAGGGGGCTGGAGACAGGAATGTTGAGTTTTAATCCTCCCAGAGAAAAACCCAATGCCCCATGCTCAGCCCCATCCTCCCCACCCACTGAGCCCTGAGATGATGGGGTGAGGCACCCACAGATTCCACTCCCCCCAAAACCAAGCAAGGAGAGTGGGAATCATAGCACAGCAGGGAGCCAAATCCTTCCTCCCAGGTTTTGCTGTCTTGGAAAAATACACCGAAAGCTGCAGGAAAATGTGCACCACCAAAAAAAAAAAAAAAAAGGTAATCAAAGAAAACTCAGTCACAGATCCTGTTGCAACACACAGGAGAAAGTGTTACAGAAGGGGAAAACTTTTTAATAAAGTCTGCAAGTATATATTCCTCCTTTATCAACCTCAAGATTTATTGACCCAAGGAGCCATATTGACTGAATAAATCTTGATAATGACCCCAGCAGAAGTCAATACCTGCTTATTATCTCCCAAGTTGGGGAATTACATCTTTCGGTAATAGGAGCAGGATGGTACAAAATGTTCTGAGAAACTTCAGCCAGGCTTTTTGGGGGGAATGGATGTCTCTAATGCGCCTTTTCCAATCTGAGAGGGAATGTGTTACACCATCAATACAGCAGGGGAGCCGTGGTGTGGTTTCTGTCTCGAGGTCTGGTGAGGGGGGAGCACAAACCGTCGCTTCCCAATCCTAAATTAATTCCATTTCAAGGCCTGCTGAGGAGCAGGATGCTGCAGCTCCCCATTGCCCTCCCTCCCCGCAAACAATGGCCCTGTAATTTCAATTTGCCGTGTTGCGTTGGCAGGTCCCAGGATAATTCCCTGAAATTTGGGATGTGAGATTTCCTGCAGTCAGGGATGTAGCTCCATGACTACGCCAGTGCCCAAGGGAGGAGGGAAGCAGCAACATCATCTCACGGGACACAGAGACTCCTCTGAGAACCAAAATACACTGATTTTCTCCAACCAGCAAAACTAGGGAGAGAAAATAGGGGAGCAGACGGGTCCCTTGACCCCCTAATCCATAAGCAAGCAAAGCCTCCTGCATTTAAAGATGGTGCTTCTTTAGCCAACAGTCAACTTCCATTGAGCAGAGAAAACAGGAGCCCTGGGACCAGCACACACAACAACTTGCCTGTATTTTCATTTCAAGTCTCTGCAGACAGAAAGAAAAATTAACTGAAGGGAGCAGCTCCTGAGCCAACATATGGAGGGAGACGAATCGCGAGCTCCGTGCGCTCCGCTGAGGTTCTCTGGTTAAGCAAGTGCCTCCTAAAGGACTCACAGGCTGGGAGTGTACTGCCTGCTTAATCTGGTCATAAATAATAATTCAGATCACCAAACCCTTTAACATTCTGCTCCACCTGCAGCACAGAGGCCCTGCTGAGCCCTGCCAAACTCACGGCTTGAGGCAGCGGGAGGTGATGCTGCAGCCCTGGGAGCCCAAGGAAACAGCTCCCTGCTCACCACCATTGATGCAAGAAGCACCCCATGAGCCTCCCTCCAGGCTCTCCCCCATTTCAGCAAGCACAGCAACCCCAAGAGCTCCACTCACTATCCCCATACTCATCTCCAAGCTGGTAAACCCACTGGGAGATGCACAGCTCACACTCTTCCCTCCAGTCCCACAAAAATCAAATTATATTTCCATCCCTGTCCCCTATTTGCCTCTTGGCCACAATCCCTTTCCCCCCCCCCCCTTCCAAGGCCATAGAGACAATCCACTAAACTGGATCAGGAGGCCAGTGCATACATCTCTAATGGGCTGCAGCACGCACACAATTAATTAATGGATTTATTAATTAGGGAAGAAGTCACTCTTCGGGCTGGAATTGGGGTCACCAGTTTCTAAAGTGAGAGCTGTGGAGCTAAAGATAAACTCTAATTTTCTGCAGCTCTTCTTGTCTGGCAGTGTCTCAATTATTCAGCCACAAGAAAAAAAAAAAATCAAATTTCAGTTCAGGAACTTCACGGTCCGACTTTCTGGCGCCGCTCAACACAGACCCCACAGCAGGTGGGACCAGAAACACGGCCCTTCTCCTTCTTCCCTTCACATATGAATTGGAAATAGTAGAAATACCAAGCATTCACTTCTAATGAAGGATTTGGGGGATGTGGGATGGATGCTGCACCTCAGCCTCTCCCAAGGAGGGAACGGTGGTGGAGGAAGGAGACATCAAAGTGGTCAATGACAGTGAAGTTCAGAGACACACAGGTCCTCCAGCCACCAAGGTTTGAACTTGCTGATGCTGCAGCATCAGCTACATCCCAGAACCATCAATCTCTAAGGAAACAGAGCTCCTGGGTGAGGGAAAGAAACATCTCCAGTGTTCCTATCAACAGACAGGCTACAGAGCACAACCACAGCAGGAGACAGCAGAGAATCCACATAAAGAGTACCATCATGAATGTCCTGGTCACTGGGAACCTCTCAAGAGGAGCACTCAACTATCAGACCACAGACAACCCAACCATGAGACAGGTATCTGCCAGAACAGTTTCATTAGTGCCACTGCTCCCAAATTCCTATTAATTGGTGTACAAGTTTCGAGTTGGTTTCCCGAAAGACTAGGGAATTGGATTTTGGGGTATCTCAAACCATGACAATTGGTTAAACCAGATGATTCTGCAGCCACCACTCCCCACGCCCTGATGCACTGGGAGCAGCTGGAGCCACTGGAAAGACAAAACCACATTCTCAACCTCCCAACCTGGTTTCTCAGCCAGCCCCAGGCACAGGCTGCACTTTCACAAACCCTGAGAATTCAGCTTGGAAAAACATAACGCCCCGAGATGGGGGCACCCAGAGCTCCCTTGGGTTCCCCCTCTCTTTCCCTCAGGTACCATCCCACCCTCCAGCAGGGATGAGGACAGATAGTGTTGGGTGCTGGAGATGCTGGAGGAATCTAGAAGGTCCCACCAGTCTCTCCTTAAAAGCCCTAAAAAACACACGGCACCCAGAGAATTTGCAGAGGTGAAGCTCCCCAGAAGCACCTCAGCCTCCCCCCGAGGTTATCCTGCTGCTCCACAAGAATGCAGTTAAGTTTATTAGTCCAAGTTCCCGGAATTAAGCTCCAGCCAAGAGGACTGATAGCTTATTTACTGCTGTCGTCTATATAAAGCAGAATTTTGACACATTGTTAAATGATGCACATTTAGATAAGTCAAGCTGTCATATCATTTAATGGATGTCTAAACTCCCTCTGCAGCTGATATGTAAAATTTATGCACTTCAGAATATCATAAGGTTATAATATTTTAATCACATCCACAGTTGTGTGTTGGGTTTTTTTTGCCTCCCCTAAACTTTAAACAGCAAAAACATTTCATCAACCAGACCACGCTCCGCAGGCTCCCGGCTCACCACCATCCGGCAGAGCCGCCGCCGCTGAAGTTTGTGCCCAACTCCAGCACAGGGAGAACATTTGCATTCCCGGGAAATAAAACGAAGAACATTTTATTTGACAAACCAAAGGCTGGAGCCGTGTAGCCCGAGCTCATCTGCATAATGAGATGTGAAGACATTTATAAAAGATGGCTCTAATCGCTCTCACTCGCCGTTGTATTTATTATCCCAAACCAGCAGCTCGCAGCTCTTCCCATTTTTTTTTTGCTGTTTTACCACGGAACGGGTTGGATTCAAGCAGCACACGGAGCACGGAATCCATACGGCGCTACCCGGAACGCAATAAACCCCCAGCAAATTAAAACCCAAAAAACCTACGAAGGTATGAATCCCACTCTGACTATTACACACAAGAAAGCTGTAAAAAAATACTGCATTAGTAATGTACACAATAAACCAATCTCATAACCCGGTGAAATACGTCTGGCATTATCTTTGATGGAATTTTATCTCTTCTCATTTCCGCGACTCTCCGCCGTAAAAGGGCTCAGCGCCGTTTCGATCCGAGCGCTGCCGAGTAGCACATTATCCCTGTGTTTTCCATATGCCCACCATTCATCAGGGCGGCTCAAACTCTGCCATTCCCGGCCAGCCCCAGGCCACCAGAGCTGCTCAGACACATCCATTAAAAAGGAATGGGGGAAAAAAAAAAAAAAAAAGGAAAAAGCTCTTGGAAGAATATAAATGGATTGTTTTCCTTCCTTTTTTTTTTTTTTTTTTGATTCTTGTTTTCAATTTATTTTTTTTTTAAATTTTATTTTTTTATGGAGGGCATTAGGCCAAGCTGCCACAAGGTCACCTTTCCCACCGTGATCCCGGCGAGGCGGCAGAACTGCTGCCTGGACAGGAGTCAGTCCTCACTGCTCCCTCTCCAGCTCCGCACCCATCCACAGTCCCCGGCAGGCTGGGAAAGGAGAGCTGCCACCTCCCAGCCCACCTCTCCCTCCGGCAAAGTTCACCCCTGAGAGACCCACGGCAAAGTAGCTGCCAATATTTATCTTTAAATAAAGGTCTGCGCGCACCCAGGAAAAGTCATTAGCGCGATTTAGAGGGGAACGCTTTTGTATCCGAAGCGCTTAGAGCCGTAATCCCTTCCCTTCCACAAAGCCAGAGCGGAGCAGTCATGGCAAACCCACCGGCCGTGGTACCTGCGGTACTTTTCGGGTCGCGCAGCGCAGACGCGGCACATAATCTGCTTAAAAGCCAAAATGTATTAAATGCTGGAACTGTTGATCCAGTACCGGAGCCCCATAAATCGCATCGCAATTTGTTTACTCCCCTCCGAAGCATGCTGCATTTTAAACTCCGGAATATCCTACAGGATAAACCCGTTTAATATCCATGGAAATGAGCGTTTCGGCTGTTGTAGCGGCTCCAGGTTGGGTTTCATCCCATTATGTTGGGAGAGCCATTGTGTTAATTATCCGCCTCCTGTTTAAGGTGCGCATTTAAGGTCACAAACTGTCAGCAGCCCCCGGCCAACCTTCCCCCGCACACGGTAACAAAGGACTTACCGGGAATTTCACAGACCGAGGGTACCACGGTGGGATACGGCGGCCGTGACCTGCCCGGAGCCACAAAGGAGCTGCCGCCCCCCCGCCGCATCCATCCCCGGCCCGAGCAGCACCGCCTGGCACCGACCGCCTTCCCGGCGCTCAGGGCTGGCCGAGCCCCCGCACCGGCCCCGCACACCGGCCCTGGATAACAATGGGAGGGCGGCGGGGCTCCGGGCAGCCCCGCTCCGCCATCCCCGCATCCATCACCGCACCCGCGAGGCTCTGCCCGCCCCGCGCGCACCGGGGGACGCGGGGACCGGGCTGCGGGGGGGCACCGGGGACACTTGGCAGCCCGCGGGCACCTGCGGCTCCGCTCCGCGGGCGGGGACCGCCACAAACTTGGCGGGGCGGCGCGGGGGGCCGCGCTCCCCGCAACTTCATCCCGCGCAACTTCCCTCCCTCCCTCCTCTTTCTCCCTCCCTCCCGCCGGGGCGGAGCGGCGGCCGCCCCCCGGCCCCGCTGTCACCTCGGGGGCGGCGGGGTGGGGGCCGGGGCTCCATCGCGGCTCCATCGCCGCTAGCGCTGCTCCATGTTCCCGGGCGGCGCCGAACAAAGAGCGGCGGCGGCGGGGGATCAATTTCTGATACCTATCGATGGGGAAGGGCGGGCGGAGGGAGGGGGGCGGGCGCGGGGGGGGGGGGGGGGGGGGGGAGGGAGGGAGGGAGGGATGGGGGCGGCCGCCCGGATCACCCCCCCTTCCCCTCCATCCTCCCGCTCCCTCCCGCCCGCCGCCAGCCCCGCGCCCGCCGCCGCCACCGACCTGGAGCCGGCGGACATCAAACCGTGTCCGGTATCGACACATCGATCCCACCTCGGCGGCCATCTTGGGGGAGCCCGGTGGCGCGGAGGGGGCGCGGAGCCGCGCGGACCGGGGGGGGGTCTGCCCGCCCCCACCGGGGACGGCCCCGCGCTGGGGAGGGAGGGGGAACCCCCCCGGTCCACCCCCCTTCCCCTCGGGACCACCCCCGATTATCGCCCCCCCGTCACTCCAGGACCAACCCGCCCCATATCCGTGGGTCTCCGTACGGGGAAGGGTCGCGGAGCCCTCCGGGTGATGGTGGGGTTTTTTCCCAGCCCAATCGAGGGTTTTAGCTGGAAAATCGCCAGCCGGAAGCCGCCGGTTAAACTTTTCCAGGGTTTTTTTTGATTTGGTTTTTTTTTTCTCCCCCTAACCTGACCCATCCAGCACCTTTGACCTGCCGGGAATGGCTACAGCAAACACGCTCTGAGCGCTCCGCGGCCAGAAACACCCCGGGTTCAGAAACACGCCGAGTTCAGGCTGGTTTAGGGCTGCATTTTTAAATTTCTCAGTGCGGTGGGCTCTGAGGAATCCAAACAACTTCAGCAGAGGAACAGAGCCCACCCAGCAGCACCTGTACCTGGAATTCCCACTCTGCTTCCCCACCGCAGGAAAAGAACTTTACAGTTTCAGCCCCAAGTTGTCCCATAGCCTGTTGCACTGATCACCCCGGCACCCAAAGGGCTTGGACAATCAGTTCCCAATCCTCTGGGTAAGCGGTAACCCCTCAGCAGAGCCGTGTTTGCACTTGAGGGACCCCAACCCCGCTGGCTGTGACTCGTTTTTGAGCGAAAAGGACGGAGCTGCCCCTCGGGTCCCTTTTGCAGGCAGGTATTTGCAGAACAAGCAAGTGCGGCGGTTTAATATTCCTGCCAAGGAGCAGGTAACACCCCGGGCTGCTGTGCAGACACGTGCACGTCTCTGCTCGTGGAGGAGCCCAGGGGCTCCTCCCAGGCTGGGACACAAATCCACATGCCAGCTCCCCTCCCCGAGACAAGCTCATTCCCCACCACCACCCCACAGAGGGGGATGCAATCCTGAAGTGTTCCCAGGGGTTCACAAGCTGCTTTGCCTCCACAACTGCAGAGACGATGAGGGCAGCGAGCAGCAGCCACCATGTTCACCACTGTCCTGCTCCCCCTCTCTTACCTGTACTTGATCCCTGTACTCCAAAGGGCTGGAGGGAGCATGGACACCAGCAAATCCAGACATGCTCCTGCAGTGGTCACTCATAGTCCTTCACTGTTCCCAAAGCTCTCAGCTCCTTTTGGTGCAGCAGATCCTGCAGTGCTGAAGCCTCTCTCTGCATGTAGTTGGGGAAGAAACAGTCCCTCACTGCCCAGATAAAATCCTGTTGCTATTCCCTGCATTTTGCAGGACTCTTGGGATTCCACTAAAAAGCACCATTTGAGTTCAGAAGACATCAAAGAAAAGGAACACTCTTCGAACCGCTCCCTGCTCTGCAGGTGCTTCCAATTGTCACAGGGACAGGTCTGCTCCTGGGCCAGGAAAACTGTCCAAAAGGGTAAGGCAGACACCCAAAGTGACCTTGGCCCCACTCTGTAGCACAAACAGCCAAGAAACGATCTTGTTCTTCTCATCTCCTCCACTCAGAGAAACTCAGGAGTCGCTCACGATCCCACAATTGCAAAACGCCTCAGGCAGAAGAACAAGTGAACAGAAAATCAGAGTTCAAAGAAAGGATTTGCAGGAGCAGAGGCAGTTTGTGTCAGAGAGAGCCTGGATGTTCCTGCAAACCCTGTCAGCCTCTTCTTCACCTCCAGAGCTGGCTGCAGAAGGGCTTCCCATGGCAGATCCTTCTCATGGTCCCACAACAAAAACATCCCCCTGGAACTGGGGGACCCCAGATGAAAATGCTGAGCTGAAATTTCAACCCTATTGGCATCAACAAAAATTTTCATGGTGCTCTGAGACCCCAACCATGTGTGCTGTCCCTCCTTAGGGGCACCCAAGTCAAGCCTCCTTACTTTGCTCAGGGAACCCAGGCACTATAAATAGATTTTCTTATCCCCACAATCACAATCAGGGAGTAGAAACCACTGGGAGTCGTTGAGGTTTGTAATGAGATTGGGGCTGCTGGTGGTACCAGGCAGCTGCTTCACCTCTGGCTTAATGAGGCTGTAATTAGCCAGGGGTGGGAGCACAGGCTGTGCAAGGGGAGATCCCACGTGGGAATTCATTTCCATCCCTCCCTCAGGGCCAGGGGGAGGTTTGCTTATAGATGGATCAGTAAACCAGGTGGGATGGGTGGTCTTTGCTGGGGGTGAGCTGGTTTCTACTCTTTGATGCAAATGTGTCCTCTCTGTACCAGCAACAGGGATTGCCTAGTCTGTCCATGACCAAGATGCTCCAGGAATCTGCTGTTGGACCCCATCAGGACGGGTCCCAGGCAGGGAGACTTTCTCCTACGCCCACAAAGCTGATCTCACACCCATAAATCACCTCCCTGCTCTGCTGCCCAGGGAACAGAGGAGCCTGCTCATAAATCAGGAATAAAACTAACTTGGCATCTTTGGTGAGCAAATTAAATTGTGGGCTTTGGAGGAATGTTTCTGTTTGGCCGAATCATTAATAAATCAATGGGAGCCATAAGGAAGAGGAGAGGGACTGTGCCCTGTGCCACACAGAGAGCTGTGGGGTGGCACGAACCATCCCCATCCCTGTGTCCCCTCAGGCAGTGCAGAGGGGCCCTGGAGCACCCCGGGGAGAGCAGGGGGACCCCGATCCTACACTCCCCCCCATGTAGGGCTCACCCACCCCAGGGGACGCTGCGAGGCGCAGGTTAATAAATCAGTTTGTTTCCAGCCCGGTTTGCTTTGTGCGCCTGACAATAGACCGTTGTAAATGGCAGCCCCTTGCCTCCTCTACTGAAAGGCTTTTAATTAAAATATGGAAGGGGCTTTTCTGTGTACTTAAAAAAAAAAAAAAAAAAAAAAAAAGGAGATTTCAGCACACTCCCATTCCAATTCTAGGCGTTAATTTATTCCTGCCTTCCTGGCGTTTGTGATCCATGTCTTTGTGCAGTGGTCCAGCCCCATTAGGCAGTCGAGAGGCGATGCTGGGAGCAAGAGTCATGTGCCAGTAGGGCTGGAGAGCCAGTGGTGGTGAGGAGCCAGTGGTGATGATGAAACAGTTGTGGTGGTGAACCAGTGGTGGTGGTGAGCAAGAAATGATGGTGAGCCAGAAATGATGGTGAGCCATCAGTGACGTGAGCTCACTCAGTCGCCTTGTCCCAAGGTTGGGCAGAGGGACACCAGGAACCCCAATGTGGGACAGTGCCGTCAGGGCAAGTGGGAATGTGTCAGGCCCTGGAACTGCCCAGGAGCTCAGGCCCAGCTTCAGCCCTGGGCACAGAGAAGAAAGACCCTCATGGGGATGCAGACAGCTGCTCCCAGAACTCTGTCCCCATCCCGTGCCGGGGAAGGCAGTGAAGCCCCTGCCAGCTGTCACTGAGCAGGTTTGGTCCTGGGGTTCCAAAAACCCTGGCATGGGTCTTGCTGCCTCCCCCATGCCACCACTGTTTTGAGGGTCAGGTTTTCGCCTTCTCCAGTGGAAAAGGCTGGGGCCGTGCCAGGGCACTGCCTTGCCCTCCAGCAGTGAGGTACAAGCCATCCCAGTGTCTCCCACATCCTCACAAATAATTTAGAGTGTTCGATAGTCATGGATGCCATGGATGTCTCAGCCCTGGAAGTGTTCAAGGCCAGGTTGGACGGGGCTTGGAGCAACCTGGGCTAGTGGAAGGTGTCCCTGCCCATGACAGGGGGGTTGGAACGGGATGGGGTCTTTAACAACCCAAACCATTCCGTGATAGCACAGAAGCCCATCACCACAGGTGATGGAGCTTCCTGACCATCTGTCCTCTCCTTGCAGCCCCTCTCCCCCACCCCTTTGCCCCGATCCTTCCTCTCCCCCATCCCTTTTCCCCCATCCCTCTCCTCTCTCCCCCGGGCCCGGGCAGCGCCCGCACCGCACCCGTTACAACGTCGCCACCTGGCGGCCACCGCGGTAACTGCAGCGCGTCCCCGCGGGCCGGGCCGGGCCGGGCCGGGCTGAGGGGACACGGAGGGGACACGGAGGGCACACGGAGGGGACACGGAGGGGACACGACTGGTCACGGCGGGGACACCCCGAGGGGGACGCTAAGGGACATGGGGGCCACAGGAGTGCAGGGTGAGGCGCCTCGGGGGCACAGCACCCCTCCGTCTCCCCTCAGTGCCCGCGGGATATGTGTTGAGCTGTGCCCGGTCTCAGCCCTCGCTGCCCTCCAGGATGCACAGGGAGGGTGCCCGGGCCCCTCCACAGGCTGCCTTTCTGCCACGGCTACTTCTTTCCAGGCACATGCTCCCTACAGTTAGCACATGTTTTTTA